CACGAGTGCCCTTGGGTCACAGGGAGGATTCGAATTTCAACGAAGCAAGCTTATTTTTGCTATACATCTCATATAACTTATTTACTGATAGTCTCGCAGATCTACTTATATACGAAAACTGATTAATGTAGTCGATCGACAATCCCATTAAAGGATGTGATATGGGAAAAGGTCTGGCTTTCCTTGGAATTCACACCTATCCTTTGACACAAGGACACTCGTGGCAATGGGGCCGGGTGTTTAACGTGTAAAGCTTATATGCTGAACTGTTATGGTTCGACTACCGCTAGGTGTGTTGATTCGATCTATGCGAGGTCAAAACTGTAGTCCACCCTGGATGAGAACAACTTTTGGGTAAGCAAGCCTCTGTGAAATTAAATGGAAACGTCAGCTCTTCTCATATGATCATCTTCTACCAGGCCTTCATCACCTTCAACGAAATAGGTTGAATACGTCTCATATAACTGATTTAATGGTAGCCTTGAAACTCTACTTATATACAAAAATTATTTAATATTTTTTGAATCCCTGATTGAGAGTAAATTTACAGCTCTTTGCGTGATCTTTTTTAATCATGCTTCAGCTCATCACGTGTGGGTTTAAACTTTGGAGAATTTATATTTCAAGTATGTAGCTAAAATACCACTTACCTTTGCCAACATTTACGGTCTATTGCCTACAGGAAAATTTATCCATATGCTATTTTATATTAATGCTTTGTCCATAGATAAGACTATTCTACATAAGGTAACTTTAGCATGCCACAAAGGGAAAGACTATGATTTTTTGTCGAAGTTATGAAGACCAAGATAGTGTGGTCATAGTCTCCTTTCGTTATATAGAAGTAGTTTGACCTTGTTTTCGCAACTCCGTTATATTGGTAGGAAGACTTAGAGCAATGCACCTAGTCCGGAGTCCATTGTATGCATCATCATTTCTAGAGTAGGAACGTGGACGGGTTACATTCTTAGACGTTTCGCCGGAATCGTAGTCGGCATCGTCGGTGAGTCTCGCCATTCTTAGCACCACACGACAGCTCGTCAAAGAGACAAGTGAAGTCCATCCTTTGACCAAACGTGTGCTAAATAGTTGTGGTATCTCTCCTGCCCTGGGCTATTCACATTTCCAATATCCTCCTATCATGTATTCCCTGTCAACATTTTTACCGTGCTTATTTTTAATGTAGTGTAGTGTGCTACTTCGAGTGGCATTCATAAAAACCCTTCATACTCCACACTGTTGTTATCACCCCCTTCACCCTTGTGCTGAGAATGTTGACCAGAGTCTGTCGTATTGTTACGTAGTACTTCCCTGGGTCCTATTAAAGTCTTCCTCTTGCCCTGTCGAATCCTGCTATCTCCCTGGTATATGCATTTCACTCGACCCCTGCCCCCCTCCATCTGTGCTATTCGAGACGTAATTTGTCCATCCCTTGCACCTGGGTGATTAGAGGCTAAAGCCTCAGAGTAAGTCTCATGGCCATGCCTTTGCTACATGGACCACGTCTCTTGTAAAACCTACTGTCAGCCAACTAGCCTGTCTCTATCCCTAATACCAAGTATATGACTTGCCATGCCCTAGTTGCTTGTGTGCTGACCCCCAAATGTTGTAGTACTGCTGGCTTTGATTAGGTTCAATGTTGAACCACAACGTTTGTGGGTTGGCACACAAGAGACTAGGGCATAGCAAGTTATAGATAGAAAGAAGATAGAAACAGTGAAAGCTAGAGCTAGTTCTCTAACAATAGTCGTGATTCAAGGATCATGTTTATGATCAAACACGTCTATTGTTAGCCAAATAGCTTTATTCTTTCCTGTTTCTATCTGTAATATTATGCCTATCGCTTCTCTTGTGTGCCAACCAACAAATGTCGTGGTTCTTCTTGTTTTGATCAGTCTCACTGAAGACGTATCCTCTGCTTCTGATTGTTGCATCCTCATCCTCCTGCGATCTCTTTTCCTAAAATTAAGGATATTACCTTGATCCAGTCGTCTTCTTTTTGCTAATCTTACTGTTTCCTGGTCTTGTCCGAGTTTTTTAAGGAAATATGCAAAGTTTTCGCTAATTCTGC